AACTGTTAGCTAAAAATTCAAACGGGAAGGCCGTCAAATGATTTTTCAAAGATAACTGCGCCGGAAAATACATATAAAACGCAGTTAACTTCTAAAAATGATTTGACAAGCTTCTCGATTGAGTTTTTAGCTGAATTGTTTTGTGAATAAACTAGACTTGACGAAGAACATGACATAAAAATTGCATCCAAAAATTCAACCTGGAAAGCGTCGAAACGCCGCCATCCGGACGGCGGTTCAGGTCCAGAATTCCGGACCTGAACATATATATATATATATATATATATATATATATATATATATATATATATATATATATATATATATATATTAACACACATATAAGTAATTAGGATCGAATGTAAGGAATGCTTATTTTGACAAATGAGATTGGATGTGGTTTGTTAAATTTGAGATCGATGGCTGTAAAAGTACCACAAATATTGAAATTTAAAGTGATGAAAGATGTGACGGCAATTTTGTAATTGAGTGAAACTTTTCCGCCATCTTGTAAAAGAGCACTAAATAAATGTAATAATGAATTCTATATATGAGGTTTACTCCAAACAATTAATTGGTATGATTCTTGATATGTTGGAGAGAAATAGTGGACTTACGAAATCCGACCACCATGAGAATCAAGAGTGAGACAACAGATAATATTTTGGGAGCCATAGAGAACGATTTGATTTGCAAGAATGTTTTCCTCCAAGAGCATCCTCATTGGGAGGATTATTATGAGATTAAATTGGTGACATGACAGTTTTTTTAGAAAATTATCATTGAGTGTCATAGATTATTTAATGAGATTATTTGCTACAATAATCTGGGATCAAAATATGAATGTGGATTATTTTAAGATTATTTGAAAATTATATGTAATAGAGATTAATGCAGAACAGAGAAAAAACAGATTATTTGAAGATGATGATTGAGAGACATAAACGAATTTTGAGATTATTTTATAATTAATTACATAACAATATTTAAATGGTAAGAATCCTAGAAAAAGTTGATTATTAGAGATCATGAATGTAGATGCTCTAAGAAAATAGTAGATTTTTCTGTTATTTGGATTGGTTACTTATAGCCATAATGAGGCTCGGACACTTGATAAACAAAGAAAATGATATGACATTATTGCAAAGTGGTTGAAGGATTGGATATAAATAAATTCAAAATTAAATGACATCCCATTTTTAGAAATGATTAAATTACATACTCCGTACTTCATTGCGTTACTAGTTTAGGATAAGAAATAAATTACTCCATATGTCATCTGATTTAATGCTTGCAAGTATTTATTAAAAATGCATTTGCTAAGATTAGAAAAAATCATATTATAAGCTTAAAAGCTGAAAAATAAGAATTGACTTGATTGGCTTAGGAAGCATGCCCATCATAATTGGCAAATTTGTAAATGTAACAAATAACAAATTGCATAGCTTTTTAATAGTTGTCATTTAAAAGAAAGGTAAAAGAGGTCCCTATGTAACTTCGATATAGGCCTGTACAAAAAATGAGTCAACTCACCTGAACTACCCTTATACAAAACTACCCTTTTAAAAGAATGGCTAGGCAGGCCGCATGGGCTGGCTCGTTTTTGTACATGTCTATATAGAAGTAACATATGGAAGTCTTTTACCTTTCTTTTAAACTAGACGAAATATACGTGCGATGCATGGGATAAATCTAGAGTCGAGCAAAATTGTCTAAGAGTTTTATTCTGTTATCATAATATGCATAAATTTCGTAGCTCATTATAATATACTGTCTTAGCTCTTTAATAAGTGCAACACTCCACTCTTCACTTTACTCATGTACAACTTTGACTAGTAGTATATATTTTCTCTATTAGTAAAAAATTAAAAATTAAAAAATTGTGATTTTGAAAATTTACGATGAGACAAATTTAACAATTTTTTAAAATATGTTATTAATAAGTTAATAAATAAAACGTAGTCAAAATAAACATAGTCAAAATAGAACATGTGCAAATGTAGAAATCAACATGTTGCACTTGAACAGAGACGATATGAAGAAATCATAGACCATAATATTATTTATTTATGGAAATTCACAGAATAAGAGCGAACATAATGTATATTTCAAAGTAGGACACAATGTTTTCCTTCCCTATATAGTAGAAATATGTTAATGTCATCCTAAAGTTTTATTATCATATTTTGGCATTATCATTTTTTCAAAAATTACTTTTCAAGCATGTCTCTATTATTTTGTAGTTTGAAAACATTTTTAATCCAATATTCTTTATTAATTATGGAAACCTAGTATTTATGAAAAATGAAAATGTAGAATTTTTTAGTCACTGCATATATAATTTTTCAGTGATTGGTGTATTGTCCTTTTTGATATATAATTCGCCCACAAATTATATCAATCAATTATGTAATTCTTATTAACTAATTAATAAATAGTAATAAGTTCCATTTATTTTGCAATGACTTGAATTTGGTGAAAAAGTTGCAATTTATCCAATTAGATTGTACGTTTCAATGCTCTTCATAATATATTTTGACCGAATACATACTTACTTAATCCATGTATGTATACTATATGTGTAAACGTGTGGTCATATTAGACGGTGTACTAAAATTTAATAGGACTACATATATATTCTGGAAACAATAAAACACAGGGGAAAGTTCAAGTACAAACTGTGCTTATTGTGCAAATGTTTGTACGATGCACCTTGATGTTATTTGCATTGCATAATGAGGTTCAAAGTGTTGCATATTATATAGTCATAAAATAGCAGTTGCACATTTACGTTCAATGAGTTGCACCCTAGAAAAGTTATGTTTTATTACAAAAATGCCACCTTGCATTTATATCCTTTAGATCAACTCATCGGATGGCCAAGATAAGTTTGTACTTTGTAAATTAAGCATGATTTGTATTTGATCTCTATTCATAAAACACATATAGGCTTATGTGTACAAAAAAATTAATAATTTTTATATAGGGGAATTCCTCAAATAGGAGTAAAACATAGGAAAAATGTAAAAATAGGAGTATCATGTTTTGAATAGGAGTAACATTAGTGTTTGGACAAATATACCCTTACCCAAGCCCCAAATCTCAACGACTTTCGTTAATAATTAAAGCATAAAAGAAATAACATTAATTAACTTATAATAAAATTGTAAAAAAATAAAAACATGAAAATATATAAGAAATAAAATACATAGAATATTTAATAAAATTAATAAAAATAAAAAATTATTAAAATAAAAAAATATTAAATATAAAACTAATAAAATAAAATAAAATAAAAAATGAAAAGACTGATTCTGAGGCTGATAAGTGGGCTAAATTTGCCAGAATTTTGGCCGGAAGGATGAGGGGTGGTGAGGGGATAATGGTCACGGACTAAATGTGGACAATCTGAAAGTAATGAACTAAATGTGGAAGTGGTATAATAGTCATGGGACCAAAAGTGGAATTTTTTCTATTAAAAAATATATAGGCCTCTACCGCAACCTCAACAACCTCCCAGGTCCCAGCACCACTAGCTCCAACCACCGGAAAAAAATGCCAACATTTATTAAAAATGTCATCATGATGACAGTTTTCGAGAAAATTTGACATTTTCAAAGAGTAAAAATGTCATCTTTATGACATTTTATCTATTTTTTATTTGTTTTTAAAGTTTTTTTTATTTAATTATTTTTAAAAAATATTTTAGAATTTTTTATATTTTAATAGGATCAAATAAGTCTTATTTTAGAATAAATCAGGTTAGGGGTATTAAAGGTAGAAAATTAATGTTTACTCCCATTGAAGGAAATTTTATGTTTAACTCCTATTTGTACAATTATGTTTATATTTAGTCATATATTAAATAATTTCTCTTTTTATATGTGTGTTGGGCATGTGAAAAAATGGCAGCCTACTTTTGACCTTACTATCCATACAATATAATGTAACATTTCCTTTTCAATAATGTTGAATTTGTCTTATATGTTCAATTTAACCACACATAATATGTTTTATAATTAATTAATGGGCAAATACAACTTTAGTGGGTGTGCCATTTTTTTCTAAAGATTATTTATAGAAAATGTAATATAAGATTTATAAAAAAAATATGAAGTGCCAAATTAAGTATTGTTTTTTAATAGTATATATATTTCTAAATGGTATCCTAAAGTGGATGTTGATTTCCATATATTCGAAATTGACTTGTCCATTGTCAATTTGAGTTTCATTCATTTTAAACTCTTTTGGATGCAATATTCATTTTCTTACTTGGTAATGACTATTGGAAACAACTCGATTAAGGGAGTATTTTTTAAACATAACACTAATGTTCATTTTTACTCCTCAATTGGCAGGAATTTTGAAACAAAAAGCGACACCAACTTTTGTACTTTGTATTTTATTATAATGATAATAATGTTCGGAGAATATGTTTATTTACGGACTCTTTATTTTCACATGAAATGAGATAATAATATGTATATTAGTAACTTGAAAAAAATTAACAATTAAAAAATAAGAACATGAACCATGAAAGCTAAGTAAGTTTTTATGGCAGTCTCCCAAAAATAATCCACCAATAAACACTTTAGATAATAATATTTCAAAACAACGTCACCAATTAAACAATTGTTCTAATAATTTCCATTTAAAATTTTAGAATATGTTTTACTATATCTAACTACATGTTGATGGATGAGCTTTAGGAGACTATTGGATCTAATAATCTCTTTCAAAGTGAGAATATATATATATATATATATATATATATATATATATATATATATATTTAAATGAAATATATATTGTAGAAAGGATTCTACAATCTGAAGGATAATTTCGTACTTTTTTTTATCAAGGATAATTTGGTACTTAAAAAACTTACTTAGAACTTAGTGAAAAAAATCACCAGTATTACTCCTGAAAAAATGATGGACAAAAATGAGACTTTGTAACTTTTAGTAACTACAATTGTGTTAAAAGTTACTATGATGTGGTGACTATAGAAGATATATTCCAACACAAGTCCCCTAGTTTCTTGAGTAGTGAGCATGTGAATATTTTCCCTGTATAATGTTAGGACTGACATTCCCTATAAAATATATCCCAACACAAGTCCACCAGTTTCTTGAGTAGTGAGCATGCGAATCTGCTCGAGAAAGTATATTCTTGCATGCGTTCTTCCTTTGTCTTCCTTGGACCTGAGTCTTCGAGCAATCCTACTACATGAGTGGATGCTTGCCCCTCTAAACGTAATCTGTCGGTAAGGCGCTCCCCTCCCGACTGGATCGAGCAAGGGACGCTCTTCCGCGGACCCTCTCCCTTGAATGTATCAGGCGGGAGTAAAGGACTCTGGCTCGGCTTTCCAACCGAGAAGCTTAGAGGCCCCTGCACATATAAAGGTGACGGCCTGAGATACGATGTATGTGTGTATGCATGAATATGATGCATGAATGTAAGAATGCGTGCATTGTATGAGCGCAAGGTATGACAGAGGGTGTGCCAGGCGTGGTATACAGTGGCGGGTCCCATCCTAGAAAGGAATAGTGATCCCAAACATGATCAAGACACGATAGCGACGAGGGGCCGACAGGGTATGGATGGATAGCCGACGAGGTATGAATGGATAGCCGACCGGGTATTGGGTTATACACCCGATGGGCAAAAAGGTTCGGTATGGATGGATGGCCTAGTCTTTTAACGTGGGCCGTTCGGGTGGGACTCGTCCACGTTGGTTACCAGGGACTTTTATATGACTATAGGGCTAGGTATTGTCCATAGTTGAAGGAATGAAATGATAGCCATATCCGGGTTAGGATTTGGTAGGAATAAGATTGGGGTAGGGTACCCTTGGACGGTAAATGATCCTAAATACTCCAGGTTGGGGTTGAGTACCCTTGGGCGGTAAATGATCAACAATACTCCAAGTTGGGGTTGAGTACCTTTGGACGGTAAATGATACAGAATACTTCAGTTTGGGGTTGAGAACCCTTGGACGGTAAATGATCCTAAAACACTCGATAGTATATTAAGACTGTAGAATGTAGCTCGTGAGCTAGGCATTCGGGACAAGAAGGAGAAACGTTTGGGTAAGGACTTTATCTCTAAAAGACTATTTAAATGTAAATATCCTACGGGTTAAGTATTTTACAAGTATATATACGGTATGTGATATATACCGTATATGATATTTTAAGACACGAGCGGGGACGAGGCCAGTCTTCAAATATGATAGTGGCACCGTACCAGGGGTCGGTGGCCATATGATGATGTCGGCACTGAGGTCGATCTCTGAGAGTCCATCAACGGTCCTCATCCGCGAGGAGCGGGGACGAGGCCGGTCTTCAAATATGATAGTGGCACCGTACCAGGGGGTCGGTGGCCACGAAATGATGTCGGCATTGGGGACCGATCTGAACGAATTAATCAACGGTCCTCATCCACGAGGAGCGGGGACGAGGCCGGTCTTCAAATATGATAGTGGCACCGTAGCAAGGGGTTCGGTGGGCACGAAATGATGTCGGCCCTCGGGGCCGATTTGAAAGAATCAATCAACGGTCCTCATCCGCGAGGATCGGGGACGAGCCCGGTCTTCAAATATGATAGTGGCATCGTACCAGGGGGTTGGTGGCCATATGATGATGTCGGCACTGAGGCCGATCTCTGAGGGTCAGTCAACGGTCCTCATCCGCGAGGAGCGGGGACGAGGCCGGTCTTCAAATATGATAGTGGCACCGTACCAGGGGGTCGGTGGCCACGAAATGATGTCGACATTAGGGGCCGATCTGAAAGAATTAATCAACGGTCCTCATCCGCGAGGAGCGGGGACGAGGTCAGTCTTCAAATATGATGATGGCACCGTACCAGGGGATCGGTGACCACAAAATGATGTCAGTATTGAAGCCGATCAGAAAGAAGGAATGGATGAGTGGGGATGCTCGTCTCCAGGCCCTTGGGATCCCATCCAAAGGACATGTTTATCCCTTGGGATTCCCTGGTGCCCCTCTATTTTTTGTGAGGGGTCTCCTGGGGTGGAGATGCTCGTCTTCAGGTCCTTGGTGTGACACCCCCAAATTTTCCACCCAAAATAATACTTTGAAATAGAAATGAACTTTTATTTAATAATTAAACCTTCAAAAGTTTGCAGCGGAAATTAATAAAGACTAAGGAAATGGGGCATGTCACCGCCACATCCAACCTTTGAATGATTGAATGTTAAGGCTATATACCAAAATGTAAATTACCAAAAATCTAGATGTTCGAATCATAAGAAAATGTTAAAGTTTATTCTCGTGAACTACATAGCGGTCTTCTAATTTGCGCTCTCAAACAGTCCAACATCAAAATCCACATGATCACCTTCTGATAGGTATGAGCAAAAGAAAATAAAAAGAAAATAAACATTAGCAATAATGCTAAGTAAGTTCCACCTAACCTTTTAAAATAATAATAAATAATATATAAATTCGTACAACCTCATAAAATATTTTTAAATACACTTTATAAATCATAAGTAAACGATATCTATACAAAATTCCAATCACATACTCATAAACTATACTAATTCCAAAAATACATGAAGCACCAAAATTCTCCTCTCTTGAATTCCTCAAAAATCACTTTGTAACTAACTTCCTAGTAATTTAGAAGGGCGGTGCTCAACACTCTGGTTGAGCCCAGTGATCCGTTGTTATGTACGGCCACCCCGGAACTATCACATGTACCACAACTGCTCCTTGGAAACGGAAACAACTACTTTAAGTGTGCACACCCCTAAAGGTATTCCAAGCCCTTCGGGTTAGTCAGTCGATCCTGGTAGCCGGGATGTTTTCTACCAACTACCCCACCTCAAAAACTGAATAATTAGGAGCTACTACTACCACTACTATTCAAAAGCCGGGATGTTTTCTACCGACCGTCAATTCACCTCAACCAAAACAAACAAAAATTGAGTAGTAGTAGACCTAACCACCCTCCACATTTTAAGGGACATGGAAAACCAACACCACAGATTTCTCCCGTGATGCTCACCCTTTATGAAAATATTTATTTTTCTTTGTTTTCTCAAAATCAATCGAAGTTTATACTTCAAAAAATTCCTTTTCATCAAACTCCCACAAAGATAACAAATTACGTACTTGTTGGGGTATTGACCTAGAGGCCCAATACCCAGATCGGGAAGGCCCAAGATATCCGGCCCAAGCAACGGGCCCATCACTCTATGATAGAAAAGATCCAGTAAGAAAACATACCGAACGGAGTTCGGCCCAAATAAAGGTTGGCCCAGTAAGAAGACATACCGAACGGGGCTCGGACTATATATCATACTTGGGCCAATTTGACAGCATCTTCAGTACAGCCCAACATCCCGTTCGAGCAACGGCCAATCAGCAAGTGGCCAGGTGCAATTAATGCCAGACTATGACATCAGCAAGTGGAAGCATGGATGACCGAGTCGGTGGAACAACGGCCAATCAGCAAGAGGCAGCCCATGCTCTCCATTAGTATAAATAGAAGGTTTCAAGTCATTGTAAGGGTTAGCATTTCAATACTCAAGCTCTAGAATAGCATCATTTGCCCTTACTTCTTGTATTAAAGCATAGGAAGGAGGCTCCAGCTTTACAGGAGAAACTCCACGTGCGGAAACGACCACATCGTCATCCCGTTCACATACCCATCGGGATAATCGGCGTAGCGCCCCACCAGCAGCACATCCCAGTCCCAGTGACCAAACCCCGGTCGGGTCGCAAGCTAGAGGACCAACTCCCGTCGGTCATCATTTCCAGTATGCCGAGCGGGAAAATACTAGGGCCCCTCAGCGACATTGGGACCGGGACTGTACGGATATGAGGGTTCCACCACCGCCCCCTTTGACGGCCCAGGAGGAAGCGATGGCCGAGATGAGGAGGCAAATGAATGAAATGCGGGACCATATGAACAGGGTACCTGTACAACCCGCACCAGTTCAGTTGGGAATTACTTCCCCGTTTACTAGGGAGCTCATGTACGCGGATATCCAAGGGGGTGCCAAGCCCCCGACCGGCCAAATTTACGATGGGGTGGGAGATCCCCACGTACATCTAAGGAGTTACCAAGGGGGACTTATGCTGCTAGGAGCACCCGAGGCCGCCATTTGCCGTTTGTTTTTCAGCACGCTCAGGGGGCCTGCCCAGGAATGGTTCGGGACACTACAGCCCGGGTCAATCAATAGCTTTGCCGAGTTATCAGCGTTATTCTTGGCTCAATTTGCTTCCAGTGCCAATCCCAAACGGCACTTCAGCTATTTGACCAGCGTGAAGCAAAACGCCAAGGAGACCCTCAACCAATTCCTGAAAAGGTGGAGGGATGAAACTTTAACAGTGGGAAACATGACGGATGATACCGCCATTACCCTGTTCACGAATGCTCTCCGAACGGGGGAGTTGTACAAAGAATTGAAGAAGAATCCGGGTACGACGTACGCCGAGGTGTTAGATAGGGCTCGCAAGCATGCCGCCCTAGAAGAGGAGATAATGATCAGGGATAAGGTCATTACGCCTGCTGCCCCGATCAGACTGGCCGATCGGCTGGGTCCTAGCCCAGCGGCCACTTTACCTCCCAAACAAGGGAGATTTACACCCCTGGTCCTATCAATAGCGACCATCTATCAGCACGAGAGGGACAATATTCCCACCCCGACTGATTCTGGACAGTTCATGGGAACGGATGACAATGCTTTCTGTAAATATCACAACAGAAAGGGTCATGCCACCAATGCCTGCAGGGCCCTACAAACAGAAATTGAGGATCTGATCCGAAGGGGCCATCTAGGCAAATATGTGAACAAAGATCCAAATGCAATGGGCACGTTAAAACCGGCCAGGAAACCTAATAGCTGGCGCCAGGATGCTCAACGTGACGCCCAGCCTCAAAATGATGCGTATGTTCCTCCCAGGGATGAGCCAGAGGGATCGGGAGGCCCTGGAAAGAAGCCTCGAATGGAGGTCAAGGTCATATTTGGGGGCGGGGAGACCGGAGATTCGAACGCCGAACGGAAAAGGTTCGAGCGAAGTCTTTATGTGGGATCCATCTCCGCTCCCCCCAGAAGAAAGGAAGGACAGACCCAATCACGTTCGGGCCAGCTGATTTACCCAATTCTCCGAGCCCCCACAGGGATGAGTTGGTGGTAAGCATGTGTATTGACAATACTTTGATCCGCCGAGTACTGGTTGATACTGGGAGCAGTGTGAATGTATTGTATCTACAATCATTCGAGAGAATGGGTCTACAAAGGAGCCAACTGACCCACCTGCGGACTCCACTGGCGAGTTTTACCGGTAACTGCATCGAGGCGGAAGGGACCATCCAATTAATGGTTGAAATTGGGGATGAAACCCACAAAGTGTCACTCCGAATGACGTT